CACAAGTCATTATACAGATAGTCTCCAATTTATGATGGTCGACTTAAGATTTTTCAACTTTTAATGGTACGAAAGAGATATTCATTCAGTAGAAACTGTCAAGTACCCTACAATCAATGTGCTTTTTACTTTCAGTACAGCATTCAATAAATTACAAAAATATTCAACATTTCATCATAAAATAGGCTTAGTGTTAGATGACTTTACCCAACTGTAAGCTAATGTTAGTTTCTGAGCATGTTTAAAGTAGAGTAGGCTAAGCCATGATGTTTAGTAGGTTAGATGTACAAATGCATTTTCAACTTAACAAAATTTTGAACTTCCGGATAGGTTTATTGGGACAGAACCCCATGGTAAGTCAAGGAGCATCTGTATTCAGAATGGTGTTTGGCTTCCTGAAACAGAAACCTGATTGTAGGTAACTTAAACAAGTAATAGGCTCACTTTTCATAGGTAACAAGGACTGGCCCATCTGCTCAAGGGACCAGACTGTTTCCCTCTCCATGTGGTCTTCACTTTCAAAATGAGGAAAAATGGTATAGGGCAAAATCTGAGTCAGTCCTGTCTTAATTAGGAAAAAGCTATCTTCGCAGGAAGTCCCACTCATAGTTCTGTTTCTAACTTATTAGTCAGAACAATGTCACATGGTCACCTCTCATGGCAAGGTATTCTGGGAAACTGAAATTTTTAGCCGGGTATATTGCTATTCTGAACAAGGGGAGAAGATATATTTGGTAGGTACCTAGCAGTTTCTCTCACAGAGAAGGGGAAATGTGGAAAGACAAAGAGCACCATATCAGACTCTAAAGTATTCTAGAGCAAGACAGCAAACAAACAGGAAGTGCACTCCAGTCAAAGAAATATAAGATTACAAATTATTTACAGTAGCTAAATCTTTCAGGTTCCTGATTATAAGCTGGATAAACATAAGTATACCAACATTTTCGTGAGTTTTAAGTCTTATTATTCATATAAAACACAAGGATGGGATCTACTTCTCTCTAGTATCAATCCAATATGAAAAATCAAAATGTTGCCAAGGACACTAATAACAATGGCACTGTGACCACAGCATATAGTTAGATAATAGTTCATGTGTCAATAAAATTAAACAGGCATGGAAATATTTCTAGATATAGTGTGATGCCATCATATAAAAAGCATTTGATAAGTAATATGTGGAAATTAAGAAAGCATCCTGTTTTGACAGTAAATTTACAGCATTCAATAAATTATCTCTGGCTATTTCCATGGGGGCCTACCATATCCACATTTCTAACACAAAGATCAATCAAAATGACCAAGCAATGAAGTGTAGAACACTGCTTTCTTTATAAACAATGAAAATCCCAGAACAGATGCAGGCTATGCTTGAGACTGTCCACTGCCTACACTGCCTATGTGCTCCTGAAATTAAAAAAAAATTTGAATAGGACACCACTTGCCAACTTTGGTGAAATTTAGTCAGTTGATAGGAGTTTCTCTATTCTATATAGTCTTCATATAGAAAATACCTCTTTGAGGAGTTTCAAGTTTTGTTTCCATTTGAATAATTATTTTTTAAAAGTTAATATAAGCATATTCTGGATCATATTATAGGGTTAGGGTTCAAAATGACCTATGGGCACAATGTTCTATATCTGGAAAAAGCATCACCTGAGACCCAATCCCCACCACTACACAATATGTCCATGTAACAAAGACACAAGTATACGCCCTGAATCTAAAAAAAAAAAGAATAAAAAAAGTTAATATAAGCATATTCTAGATCATCTTACAAGCGTGTTACTTCACTGTCTAAACTTAAGTTTACAAATATGAAGGCATCAAGAAATGCTATTTTCATTGTCTCAACTTAATAACAGAATCAAGCTGAATTCCAGGCATAAATGATGTGTCTCTGTGACACTCAGGCCCAAGGCTGCTGGATGGGGACATGCAAAAGAACTGCAGAAACAGAACAGGTAGAAGGGATGGGTGGGCGGAGCCAGCACTGGGCATGTGGGTCGGGCAAGTAAACTCGGTGAATCTGCCACATAGCAGCTACCACCATCTTCATGATTTGTGCAAGAGTTTAGAATTAAAAAAAAACATTATTGGACACATTAAATTAATGCTGTTCATTTGAATGTAATGGCTTTGTCGTTTCATTTGTATTTAATTTGTAAAGATGTTTGGTTTTATAGTTGTATAATGGCTATCAACAGAAGGAGTTTAGTCCTATTTTATTTTTATACATATTTAAGTAACATTATAATCAAAACAATTTAGTTCCATACTGCAGTATCAAGATATTGTCTTTCCTTTAAAAGAATCCCACTCAAGTCTGAGAAACACTTTTCTACAGCTTTCTCTCTGACGGTAAAAGACAATGGAGGTGATGTCATGATTTCCAAGTCAAATTCACATTCACATAGGCAGGCAAATTGTACTTCACAGGTGCAGTAATTCCCAACTTTTTGGATTAGTAACATCAGTCATTGTTTAACAGACATCTTATTCTCTGCAAAAATAATAATTATGAAAATACACAAGTTTCTGTAATCCTTTAAAAAAATTATGTCTCTCTTGAGCTGGAAGCATCTTAGAAATCCTCAAGTCCAACCACTCTTTTGGGACACAAATGCATAAAAGTGTAATATATCTGCCAGCTGCCAAGGCTGCACTTGAGGAAGGCTGAGAGAAGTTTTTAAATACAACAATGCCTAAGATGAGATTTTGAGTTATTTACGGCTTGGTGTGACATGTCCCCGCGACTACAGTCTCCTCTGGAATGCTTTGCTGAGTGGGTTTTTGGTGGAAATTAGTTAGGAGGCCGAGTTCCAGTTTGGGGTTAGTGTGGCACAGAGCAGAGACTGCAGGTGGGGATGCTGAGCCCAAAAACAGAGGGGTTCTGAGCACCTAAATCTTGTTGAAAATTTGAAGAAATCTACATGCAAGATTTAGACTTTTCGTAGGGCACTGGGATTTAAAGCAACCATTTCTGCAGCCCAGGAGCTGGGGACACACAACTCTTTTGACTCCTGGTTCTGATGTTAGGTGGAGTTTCTGAGCTATATGGGTAACTGCCACAAAGCACATTTACTGTTTTTTACATTTTCAACCTAGTTGTGGATGGTGCTGAAAATGATGAGTACTTTTATTAATGATCAATATGTCAACTAATTTTTTTTTAGTTCCTCCAAAAATTACTGACAACTTCAATGTTCTAGTGTCCTTTTTCCCAAGAAAACAATTCCAGTGGGATATTCATGGCTTCAAATACTGCTTGACCTTCTACAAGCAGCATTTACAAGTACAGCAGAAACCAAGTAAGAAGCTTTTAAAGAAAATGTCACTGTCACTGAAAATAACTTTATTCTTTGAATCCTGACATATTTATGTTAATTAATACACATGTGAAGCTTCTAGGAGATCACACCAATGGAGCTAAATAAACTGTAAGCTTCCTGTGTTAAGTTACATTATTCAGTAATTAGCATTGACATCAAACAGATTTTCATAAGACAATAAAGAAAACTAAAATCCAACAAAAATAAACAAAAAAGGAAACAACAGAACAATAATCTGACTAATGGTTCACATTAAGATCTGGTTCTCCATTTGCTATTTTTTATAATGCTTCCTTTTAGGTTTGCATGAGGGTTACCTGTTGCATTTGCAAACTTGCTAAAAATAGCTAAAAGTGAGTAAAATAGAGACTGCTTGCAAAATGTAGCAACCAATAGCACATGGATATTATGGATAAAATAATTTCAGTACGTCTCTAGTCTTGCAAGATTTAGAAAGTGACGTTCCCAGGACCAGCAGTACCAGCACCAAACCTGGGAATGTGTAAGAAATGCAAAGTCTTAGGCTCCACCCCAGACCTACTAGATGAAAATTTGGGGAGAGAATCAATCAATGTGTATTTTAAGAAGGCATGCAGCCAATTCTGATGCACACCAAAGCAAATGCACTGAAGGTTAAGAGGCACTGGTTTTGAAGAAGCTTGCTGTCTATAAGGTTCCAAGCCCAGCTCCCATATAGAGCAACAGTTATGGAAAATCATTATAAGGCATGATGAGATTAGTGTGTTGTTTATGGCAATAACTTGCATATGTTGGATATAAAAGGAAATAAGTATTATTTTCTTTGTGAAATAAACTCTATATGGTGTATGAATATACAAATGGAAAGGTGAAAAGAGATCTGTGTAAAACTATCTCAGTTAAAACTTGAGATAAATATATAGCCAGTAATATATAACCACTAATATACAGTCATACAGTCAAAGTTTTAAATAAACATACAGCCATTAAAATACAGTTAGCATGTAAATAATCAAGGAAAGGATACCCTAAATACCCTGATTTGATCATTACTCATTCTATGCATGTAACAAATATTCACATGTGCCCCATAAATATGTTAAACAGTATGTATCCATAAAAAAAATACAGTTGGCATTGCACTCCTGTGTGCTATAATGATATACATAATTCAGGCTGTGGTCTGTGACCGCTAACAAGCAGTCTGAAGACTGCCTATACTACACTTTTCATTTACTAATTCTTTCATAATATAAAATTATGCCACCAAAAAAAAAAAGTGCCCCTTCTAAATCATAGCTGGGACAAGTCATGCCATTCCCCATCTATTTAATTGCCACAACTAGAGGCTCTCCTGGTAATAAAAAATATAACACTTAAGTAGAAGAGCCATAATTTTAAGTTTGCTTTTATTTGAGTTATAAACTAAAGGTTAGTTCTCAGGTCTAAAACCATCTTAAGAACAAGATGAAATATGCTGGAATCATTAGAAAAGTCATCAAAATCTCTGCCACTTCATCCATTAGGTTTCGATTTGTATAAACTCAATACTTTTAGACACAACAGCTTTTTAAAGGCCATTAATAAAAGGCAGCTCTGGTTTGAGAATTGATGAACAATCTTCTCCCTTGTCAGAAACTATATCAAAACTGATGTGGAAGCAATGCTGTGATTGCTCTTTGTGCCTACCTGTCTACAGATGAAGGTTTGGAATTCCGTGGCTTCTTTACTTGGGCGTACAAAGCATCCATCATGTGCCCTTCCCGTGGACTCTGGGGTCTGGGGTTGAGAGCTAGGGAACCTTCATAGGAAGACATTCCCCCATAGAGTAACTCATCGTCACAGCCAAATGTCCGATGGAAATCTTGAATTTCAGCGTAGTCACGCTCACGAGCTTGCCGCTCCCTAAACTCTCGCGTTTTGGCTTGAATCCTGAAAAATGAGAACAAAGTTGAGACAATAGAAACAATTCCTGTTCTAGGAACTGCATATAGAAACATGTATTGAAACGTTGTAAACTATATTTTATTCTATGCAGCTATAGGACAGTCTGGTACAAATGATAAGTAACATACATCTTAGACTGTCACGTAATGCTATGAATGATCAAAAACAATCATTTCAGATACCTACTGTTCATGTTAATAAGATACTGTCATCATATAAATCTTAAGTTTAAATATTCACATATTAACTAGCTTTAGAAATTCACAAAGACAGTTGCTGGCACCAACTTGGATATTACACATGAATTTTTTTAAAACAAGAAAAGCTTGTTTAAAGGCACATACACATTATGTATGTATGTGCTTACGTGTGTGTATAATATATATACTTTACTCATGAATTAGCTGTAAACATTCAACATACTATGAAGTTTAAATATGAATCCACACCATAATCCTTCATTAATGGCAAAAGAAGATCTCAGTTTAGTGACCATGACTTTGATTTTATGTGCTACATACAGAAAGATGAGATTCAGGACAATCATGCTGGTATCCAAATGGTCAAATTTTGAGATAACACTTGCCTGTATTTTAACTAAGAAACAGACCTTAAATGACCACTTTCACTGAAGATATGTTTAGTTTACTATGATTTCATTAAACTACTTGGTACATGCCTTCTTCAACTTGTATATTGACATAATGTATGCCCTAACTCAACCACAGTTATCTAAAAATATACTTTTACAGCCGTCAATAGAATTTTTAAAATTTTGGATGGAAAAAAAATTCCATTACATAATTACAAATTGAAATGTTTACTTAAAATCAGTAAAATGTGAGAAGCACTACTTTAAAGCAAGTTTAATATTTTATTGCAAAGTTATTTTTTCATATTTGAAAGAGACCTCTGCTAGCATAAACCACACATAAATATATATTCAAAAGAATCTAGAAAAGATACTGATATCAGATGATGACAGCACAAAAAAAGAAAACTACAGGCTGCTATTCCTCATGAATATATTGGGCCGATGCATAAGTTCCAAGCGTTTTTTGCTGGCCTATGGAATGCAAATGTTGCACAATCGTTGACTGGTCACACAGTTCATCACATTTGCCAGTTCTTAGGTTGACTGACATAGCTCACTCAGGTCAAAATGGCTCTCTGTGAAATGACAAAATCATTTTCTTTTCGTGCTTTCCCCGATGGCAATCTCCCTGTACACAGCACAAATGTTTCCAGCCACCTCTATTGCCTTTACTCCTTGGTTAAACTCAAACAGAAGAGTATGTCATTAAATGTTTGTTTTTTTCCCAACTTGACCCTCCATTTTCTTTAGACCATAAATAGTACTAACTTTCTTCAAATCTGCAAAATGCAAGGCATATTTACAAGCACAGCATTGTCACCTGAAATGATAAACTCCCAACACCGCAGTATTGCCATGCCAAAAACAAATACTGCGAACTTATGCATCAAGCCAATAGAGACAAAAAACTTAATGAAATATTGGTAAACAGAATTTAGTAATGTATAAAAGAAATTAGACACCATGACCCAATGGTGTTTATTGCAAGAATTCAAGCCAGTTCAATATTCAAAAATCAATTACTATAATCTGCCATGTTAACAGGGTAGAGAAGGAAAGTCTTAGGATGACATCAATAGATGCAGGAAAAAGCACTGGACAAAATTCAACACCCATCATGACAAAAATGCTCAGAAAACTAGCAGTAGAGTGAAACTTCCTGAACTCAACAGAGAGTATCTACCAAACACCTATAGGTTCCCTTAGACATAATGGAGAAAGATTGAATTCAGGAACAAGATAAGGCCCCATGCTCCCACTGCTTTCATTCCACATAATGTTGGAAATTCTAGACAATGCAATCAGCCTAGAAAAGAAAACAAAAGGTATAAGTTGAAAAGGAAGAGATAAAATGCTTCTTATTTGCCGATGATATGATGGTTTACATAGAAATTCCAAGGAATCTAGAAAAATCTAGAACAATAAAGTAAGTTCTGCAAGGTTTTAGGATAAAAAATCAGCATATAAAAATCCACTGTATTTTCCATATGCTGGCAATGAACACATAGACACTGAAATTTTAAAAATGCCATTTACAATCCCTAAAAAAAAATGTAGCTATAAACAAACTAAAGGTGGGCTTATAGATACATATAAAATATATGGATGGAAATCTGACAAAACATGGACAGGACTTGTATGCTGAAAACTACACAATGCTGCTGAGAGAAACCAAGAAATCAAAGATCTAAAAAGTCGAGAGACATACTATGACCATGAATAGAAAGATTCCCCAAATTGATATACAGGTTTAATGCAATTTCTATAAAAAATCTCAGCAAGATTTGTGAAGCTGTTAACAAGATTTTTAAAAAATTTATAAAGACAAAGGATAGAAGAGTCCAACAGTTGGGGAAAAGAACAATAAAATGGGAAGAATTATACTTTTAAATTGCAAGAGTTGGAATATAGCTACAGTAATCTAGACTGTGTGGTATTTGTGGTATTATGTATCTATGATCTAGGCACATATATACAGCCAACAAGTATGACCAACTAATTTCTCCTAATTGCATAAAAACAATTTAATGGAATAAAATATATACATATCTTTACCAATGGTACAGGAAGAATTGGCTATCCTCAGGCAAAAAACAAAAAAAAAAGAAATCTGAACTTAAACTTCATAGCTTATAAAAAAATTAACTCAAAATGGATGATAGGTTTAAAAATAAAACTATAAAACTTAAGAAGAAAAAATGAAAGGGTTACTTTAGGAACTAGTGCTTGGTAAAGAATTTTTAGAAATGACATCAAAAGCATTATCCATAAAATAAGATAACATAAATTAGACATCATCAAAATTAAAAATGTTTCCTCTATTGAAAGGCTCTATTTAGAATTTGGAAAGACAATTACAGATTGGAAAAAACTTGCAAGGCATATATCTCAGAAAGAACCCATATTCAAAACTCAACCACAAGAAAACAATCCAATTAGAAAATAGTAAAAGGGCTGGGCTCCATGACTCAGCCTATAATCCCAGCACTTTGGGAGACCAAAGTGAGTAGATTGCCTGAGCCTGCAGGTTGGAGAACAGCCTGGGCAACTTGGCAAGACCTTGTCTCTACAATAAATAAAAAATTAGCCAGGCATGGTAGTGCACGTCTGTAGTTCCAGCTACTTTGAAGGCTGAGAAGAAAGGATTGCTGGAGCCCAGCAGGTCAATGCTGGGGTGGCTGTGAGTGTGTTACTGCACTCCAGCCTGGGCTACAGAGTGAGACTCCAACTCAAAAAAAATAAATGAATAAAAAGAAAATAGCAAAAGACATGAAGAGATGAAGAGACATCTCACTGAAGAGGATATATGGATGACAAATAAGCACATGAAAGAATGTTAAACATCACCAGTTATTAGAAAAATGTAAATTATTAGGAAAATGCAAATTATGACCATGATAAACGATCACTACACCTATTAGATTGGCTAAGATAAAGAATGATGACAATACCAAATGCAACCAAAGATGTAGGAAAACTGAATCTCTCATACTTTGCAGCTGGAAATATAAAATGGTACAGCTACCCTAGAAAACATTCTGGCAGTTTTTTAAAACACTAAACATACCTACTGTACTGTTCAGCAGTTGTGTTCCTGGGAACTTATCCCAAAGACATGAAAACTTATGTCCATGCAAAAACCTGTATGAAATTGTTCATAGTCACTTTACTCATAATATTCAAAAATTGGAAATAACCAAAACATCCTACAAGAGATGAATGTTTAAATAAACTGGAATGCATCCATACCACAAAATATCACTCAGCAGTACATAGGAACAACCTATTGTTACATATAGCAACTGGAATCCATCTCTTGAGCATTATGCAATGTGAAAAAAATAACAATCTCAAAAGGTCATATACTGAATGATTTCATTACAAGACTCACAAAATGACAAAAGTATAGAGATGGTGAACAGAAAAGTGGTGGCCAGAAGTCAGCTATGGTGGGAGAAGAGGGGTATGGGAAAGTTCTTTGAAATAATTCTGTTTCTTGATTGCAGTGGTGGTTACACCAATCTGTACCTGTGATAAAATGACACGGAACTATATGCATACCTTGTATGAATGACAATTTCCTAGGTTTTGTTTTTTTTTTTTTACTATAGTTATGTAAGTTGTAACCATTGGGGGAAATCGGATAAAGGATACACATGATTTCTTTGTATTATCTTTGCAACTTCCTATGAATCTAAAATTATTCAAAAATTAAAAGTATTTTTAAGCCAGAAAATTGTCACCAAACATTACAAGAAAAATTCACATTTTTGTCTCCCTTGTTTCTTTCTTTCATCTAGAATATCACCATCACTCCAGTCTTGTTTTCTAAATTTTGGATGTACAGAGTCAAGTTTCTCTAATTTTTCTTCTTTCACAGCTATATAATAGAAATACATAAAGTCACCTAGTTCAGTGTTTCTCAACAGGGGTCCAGTGACATTTGAGAAGGGGTTATTTGTTGTTTTGCAGGGTTTTTAGTACAACTGATCCCAGCTATATGCAATCAAGCAGTGTTCCCCCAGCCACTGGGGCAACAAAAATGCTTCTCAAATTCTTCCAAACTCCCTTATTTCCTGAGGACCTCATTTTCTGAGTTGAGAACCAATGACTTTCTTAGCTCAAAAGAGAATACTGGAAATTTCTATCAGGGTTGTCTTAGATTCTAATAATGGTAAGACAACCCTGATAGAAATTCTTAGATTCTAATAATGGTAAGACCCACAGACAGAATAACCACAAGAGAAATAGCAACTCAAATTCTGATGCCAAATTTAGCTAAAATTCTACTTGATTTTCAAATTGTACTCCATTTATCCATTTAAGAGCAATTATGATAGTAAGGATGCTATTATTAAAGCTGGTTACCACAAAATACTGGATATCCATA